GCATCTTTTGCCAGTTCCTTGTGACCATTTCGAATCAAAATATTTAATAAGTCGTTTACACATTGTCTGGTGCAGCCATGTTTTAAACTCCAGCACTTTAGTTCATTTTTAAATGGTTCTAATGGTACCGTATCATTGTATGATTCATTATCAATTGATATATCATGTAAACCTTTTTCCTGGTTATCATTTAATTCTGTAAATAGAGTATCTTGAGATGCACAAGTCTTGTATGAAGAATCGTCCCCGCTTAGCATAGAAGCGGAAGAACTATAGGAGCTACAATTAACAGACCCAATGTTATTATTTGAATTGACTGTGAAAGGTTCTGTACAGATCTTCTTAAATTCTGCCACTGGGTTATTCACTTGCTAAATAAATAAAAACTATGACATAAATACGCAAACAATGCTTAAAATGTTTAATCTATTTGTTTTGTCTAAATGCCAAAATAAATATACTATTACATATGTAAAATATCCTCTAAATATACATTTAGAAGATATTTTACATAGAGAATCTTTAATAAGGATTGCCATTATATTTTAGAATAAACTCATTTTAACTTAATTTTTTTTAATTTCTAACTGAGTAAGTTATTATTTAATAAATAAATTATTAAATTACTTATGTTTTCATGATAACTTATGAGTTTATTAAACTAACCGTTTTGTAGGAGAAACATGTTGTCGTTTCAATGATCAATGCCTTGGGAAAAGGAATTATCAAAAAAATAATAATAATAATAAAATTCTGAAATAAAAATGCAATAAACATTCAGATCTATAAAGTTAAGTTTTTGTGGTTTATTGCAAACAATTTCATTAAATTACTTTCCACGAAAAAAACTGTCGTCCAACATGCAATGTTGACGTAAATTTCAGAATGTTGTGGTAAGATTCATTTAAGCAATTAATGCAATTCCAGAATCAGTATTGAAAAAGCACTTAAATTTCAGCTTTAATGATACTTCCAAAGAACAATAAATTTTTTTAAACACTGCAAAAAAACACTTATAGACATGAAAAAGTATGTATTTTAAAACTATATATTTTTTTTTTTTTTTTTTAACATCTTCACTTCCAACAAGGCTGCAAGCAACCACTATAAGAGTTGGAAGTTACTGGAAGAGAAAAGACTAAATCTGTAGAGCAAGATAACGATTGACTGATGACTTAAAAGATTGCAAATTATATGAATCAGGAAAGCAAGATGAAGGAAGCGAATTCCAAAGAACTGATGTTCGAGGAAAAAAACTAGAAGAATAAGAGTTTTTGAAGCACTTAGGAACAGTCACAGAAAAAGGATGAGATTTAATTGAATGGCGAGTAACACGAGAATGAATTTTAGTAGATGGCACAAGGGACGCTAGCTCTTTAGAGCAGTGCCCATTATAGTATTTGTAGAAAAGAGAAAGAGAAGCAACATTACAACGATGTGACAAAGGTTGGAGATTGGCTGCCAGAGCAGGTCCAACTATGTTTACAATTCGTTTTTGCACCTTGTCTAAAAGAGAAAGAGCATCATTAGAAGATCCGCCCCAGATGTGGCAACAGTATTCCATACAGGGACGGATTTGAGATTTATAGAGATAGAGAATAGAATCTGGAGTAAGAAAGTGTCGAGCTCGATAAAGAGATGCAACCTTAGCAGATGCTAATTTTGCAATGGATTTGATATACGGTTTAAAAGAAAGATCAGAAGTAAGAGTTAATCCTAGAAGATGAATGGTAGATGACTCATCTAGTACATTACCATTCATAAATATAGGAAGATCTAAATTATTACGATAACGATTGGCCGATTAAAATTGAGTTTTATCTGAATTAAAGTTCACCAGCCACTGTGAGCCCCATGCTGTAGCAGAAGTGAGATCCTTTTCAAGCTCAGATACCCCCTCCAAGCAATCAGAGAGTGTAGGCTTCTTATCATGACAAGAGTAAATGGTAGTGTCGTCAGCGAATAATGCCACCTTAGATGTGAGAATATCTGGAAGATCGTTAATGTAAATTAAAAAGAGTATAGGGCCAAGGATTGAACCTTGAGGAACCCCTGAAGTTACAGGATGTGAAGAAGAGTGTTGTCCATCGAGGACAACTTTTATACTACGATTGGAAAGAAAGGACTCAATAATCTTAAAGACGTTACCAGCTACACCATAAGAAGAAAGCTTATGGAAAAGACCAGCATGCCAAACTTTATCAAAAGCTTTAGAAATGTCAAGTGCGATAGCCTTAACCTCTCCACCTCTATCTAATGCACGGTAAAACCTATCGGTTATTACTGTTAGCACATCAGCTGTAGAACGAGAAGACCGAAATCCATATTGATGATCAGAAAGTAAGTTATTTGATTCAAGATGAGAGATTAAGTGTTTGTTGATTAAAGATTCAAAAACCTTGCTTATGACAGGAAGAAGACTAATGGGACGGTAGTTAGATGAATCAGATCGCTCTCCGGAATTTTTGAAAATAGGGATAACAGATGCTGCTTTCCAGCATAATGGAAAACAAGACTCTGATAAGCACTTGTTAAATAGTTTAGAAAGTATGGATGAAAGCTCCAATGAACACCTCTGCAAGACTACAACAGGAATGTTGTCAGGACCACAAGCTGTTGAAGAGTCTAAGCAGGAAATTACTTTAGATACAGAAGCTGAAGTGATGCGAATGTCAAGCAAGGGATCAACCTGTTTGACGGCTATGTCAGGTAAAACGCAACTAGTGGAATCAAGAGATGATATTGATGAAAAGTTCTTAGCAAACAATTCAGCTTTGTCTTTAGGTGAGGTGACAAAGTCTGAACCATACAAGAGAGAAGGAATAACAGATTTGCCCTTATTATTGATACTGTTAAAGATTCTCCAGAAGTCTCGAGAGCCTAATTTTTGTGATGAGATACGAGATTTAATGACCTGGGAATAGCGAGCTTTGGCGTCAGACAAAACCTTTTTACAATGGTTTCTGGCGATAGTGAACAGATGTCTGTTTTCTGGAGAATTGTTTTGCTGATAGATATGGAAGTAACGGTTTCGATTAGAAATTGCTACTGCGCAATGTGAGGAAAACCAAGGAGAAGAGTGAGGCTTGACCTGGAATCGTCGAGAGGGAATAAAAGATTCCATGCCAGCCTGAATCCACGAAGTTATGTAAGAAGCACATTTGTCAGCAGGAAGACGAAAGATTTCTACCCAAGGGCCATCACGAAGAAAATCACGGAAAGAGTCCCAGTCAGCTTTAAGGTAGTTGTATGTGGTACGATGATAGGGGGATTCTGATGAAGTAGAAGAATTTGATAATAGTTTTAGAGAGATCAAACCGTGATCAGAAGTACCTAAGGGTGAATGTGGAGAAATTGAGCACTGACTAGGATCCAAAACAAGACATAAGTCGAGTGGAGAAGGTAAATGATTAGGGTTGTCTGGAAAACGAGTTGGAAAGTTGACTATTTGAGTTAGAGATTGAGAAAGGCAAAAGTTGAGGGCCTTAACGCCAGCAGAGTCACTGACACTAGAGCCAAGCCAATCGGTGTGATGGGCATTAAAGTCACCAACAACGACAATATTGGCCGATGGATAAAGAGAGAGGGCTTGGTCAATTTGATCAGAAATAACATCAAGAATAGTGCAATCTTGGGATGAAGGAGAGCGATATAGAACAAAGAGAAAGGCGATAGAGTGAAGTTGTGCTAAACAAAAGCACATAAATGAATAGTCTGTAGATTCAAACCTAGTTTCACGACAAATGGGTGAGTTCTTATGAATGTAGATGCCCAGGCCAAGCATGTGATTATTGGAGTCTTTACGAATTAAAGGAAGATAACCATCAACACTAAGATCACAAGATGGGACAGCTGAACTTAAATTAGTCTCACAAAGAGCAAGTAGGTCTGGTGAACTTTGCAAGAGATAAGACTCAACAGAAGAAAAGTTACTTCGAAGACCACGAATATTAGTAAATGATAGGTTTAGAGAACTTGGTGATGACAATGGTTTTTTGTGTTTTTTAGTTTTAGGTACTTTAGTCATTTTAAATTTATAAAGAACTTGACTCAAGTATAGATAGTACTCAGTACACTATTTAACAACTAAGCAATAGCCTCATTACTATTAATAAACCCTAAACCGTAACAAAGGGCTCCAAATGTGGCCTCTGCAATGCACACCAAAAGTACAAACAGGGACACCATCCATGCGCAACATGGCACTGTTAGTACTCTGATATTTTTCGGCTGTTGATGGAATCAGCCTCTCTGAGAGCTACCACAGAGTTCGGGAAACCTGACTACCAGCCGGCCTCAGAACCATAAAACTGAGTTTTAGAGCTGTACCCTCATTAGGAGATAATAGAATGAGTTGCATAAAAATAGAGACAAAAGCAATACCCACGCATTGAGTCAAGAAGATCCAGCGTTCAACATCCTAAACTGGAAACAATGTATTAAAAATACATCTGCGCCAGCCTAATAGATGAGGAAGGGGTGCGAGGCTGGTCAACAGATAGAATCTGTTTACCCCTTAAGTCTTTGCCTAGGAGGCCTTCTACAAGACAGCAGCTGGATGCATGTAACATCTGCCCAAGATGAGTATTTTTATCGAGACACCATCTCTAGCCTTTACTCAACCAAGAGCCCCAAGGCAGGGGGTGTTTTAAATCGGAGTTAACTTCTCCTAGCCTTTGCCTAAAAAAGCCTATCCTACAAGGCAGCAGGACATGGAGCAGGTTGTACTGGGTTACATGTTACCAGTAGCAGGAAAACCTGACCTGACCTGAAAATATACTAAATATAATATATCTTTATACTATAACAAATATTAACTGGTTTTTATATAAGTATAAATATAGTTGAATAACTCAGGCTTAAAATTTTTCTTTACAAGAATTAACAAACAACAACTTGAAATAAATAACTATTTTTTTACTTTCAACTTTTCTAATTAGGAAATAAATAATATTTAATAAATAAATTATTGAATTACTTATGTTTTTATGATAACTTATGAGTTTATCAAACTAACCTTTTTGTAGGAGAAACATGTCGTCGTTTCAATGATCTTTTGTAATCCATATCTGGATCAGATAGCCTTTCTTTGTTTTATGTATATGTATATTTGCGTATATATATATATATATATATATATATATATATATATATATATCTAGTTTTATTTATTATTATTATTATTATTATCATTATTATAATAATACATAAAACTAGATAAATAAATAAAAATAATAAATAAAACTAGATAAATATATATATATATATATATATATATATATATATATATATATATATATATATATATATATATATACATATATATAATAAACTTATTTTATTATATGTATATATATATATATATATATATATATATATATATATATATATATACATATATATATATATATATATATATATATATATATATACATATATATATACATATATATAACATACTTATTTCAAATAAAAATATTGTTTAAATACATTTAGAATATGTATGTATATGAATACATATTCTAAAGGTGACACAAGTACAAGTACAGGTACAAGGTGACACAAGGTCATCTTTTTCTTATTTATATAAATAGGTATATGTACATATATATATATATATATATATATATA